CATGTAGATCTAATACTCATTAGGTTAAGATCATTAACATATATAGCAATGATCACAAAACCATTTTTATCTCCTTTAATAAATAAACAAGGAATTAGTGGATCATTTATAAATTTATTTATAATTAAATAATCTCGAAGACATTGATACTACATGCATTCAGATTATTTTAGACCATATAAGGCCTTGTGTAATTTAATACCATGATATCATCTTGAATCAAGTATATTTGGAGTTTCTATTTCTAAATCAGGTAGAACTTTTATATAAATATTTGCATCAAGTGAACCATACAAATATGTAATTATCATATTAATGAGATGCATTTCAAGGGTAGCATGGATTGCCATTCTAATAATATATCAAAATATAATTGAATCCATGATTGGAGAATATGTAGATTCATAATCAATACTAAATCGTTGGATAAATCCTTGAGTAATAAGATGAGATTTATAGCAAATTATTTGACCTTTAGTATCTCGCTTGCATATTAATACCATCTTATATCCCACAAGGTGAGAAATTAGAGTGTCCACAATTGGACCAAAGACTTTCTTCTTACGCAAAAAAGTATAGTCTTCCTCGATGAGAGTTTTTCATTTTAACGAGTTAGAGCAACGCATTGCTTCTTTGGTGGTTTGAGGTTTAGGATCGTCTTCTTTGCAAGAAAGAGCTTCTATAATTATATATGTAAATGATTCATCTATTATAATAGATGGTCTATTCCAAATATCATCTATAGTACAATACAAAGTAGATAATTTTTTATTCAACTTAATCTTATTCCTTCAAATTCCAAGGTTTTTTTTCCCAAGAATTGAAGGTACATTATGCATGGATATATCATTATAAATTAGTGGTTCCATAGGATGAGTAGAAATTTCTTGAAAAATAATACCAAGATTAGTTAATATTATAGTTTTTTTCTTGCGTGGTTATTTATCTCGTCCACGAGTTCTTTTAATTGTTGTTGTTATAACTTGAGATATTGTAGTCAGTGGCACTACAATCTGAGTAGGTACATTTTGAACCTCATTAATAGGAACTCTTATAATCCTAGGTACATCATTGAAACCATCAGGTATTTTATCTGCGATCCATTTTAGATATAAAATATTAGCAACTTCAATTTTAGCCAAAGATGTCCTAAGATAGGAATTCATTGTAAACATTTCTAGTACTTCAAATACAAGTACTTTATTTCTTTGTTGATTTGATACTCTTTCTTGAAGAGATGGAAATACATTTTCTTCAAAATAATAATTTTGCAAACGTGCACATAATAATGTGTTAGTTGATGGATCAACAATACAAATAATGTTTGATGAATCAAAACCAATATATATGCCTTCTCGTGGATGAGCTCCAATGATACATTGTTGAAGTTCTGATATTGGAATCTAAACACGGCAACCAAATACTTATAAATGACATACATTTAGAATACTACCCAAAATGAGCTCATGTGGAGAAACAATTTCAAGAAAAGAAGGGTGGAGGCGTATTAATACTGTAGTATATAAAACTACATAATTCCACATAGATGCAAATAAGTTTGCATGAAAAAGGAGTGGTTGAGTAATGAATTGTATATGCTTTATAAATAACTCTATAAGTCTATTTTGAGCATGTTCATAGAAAATACTATATGTCAATTCAATTCCTGTTGCAATACAATAGTCTTCAAAAGACTTTGATGCAAATTCTTTTGTATTATCCATACGTAATATTTTTATAGGATATTTTGGAAAATATGCCTGAAAACAAATAAGCATAGATATAAGATTGGCAAACACCATGTTTTGGGTTGATAATAATAAAACATGTGATTGTTTACCTAATGCATCAACAAGGACCAAAAAATAATAAAATAGTCCCGATATTGGATTCATAGGACTACATATATCACCATGCAAACTTTCAAGCATTGGTGGTAATTCATGTGGAATTTTCCAAATAAAAGGCCGAGTAATCATCATGCCTTGCATGCATGCATAACATAATTCCATAGAGTCTATATTTGTAGGCTTTAAATTGTACCGAGTTATATATGGAATGATTTTTTTAAATAATATAGATCTTGGATGTTCCAATCGTCCATGCTAGAGAGAAACACAACTCTTTGTGATAGATGATGCAAAATTAAATATAATAGTAGGCCGAATTGCAATTCGACATAAACCATTTTTTATAGCAAAAGCTTTTACAACAACTTTATGATTTTTTGTAAAAACCAAAACTTCTTTTTTATTTAAAATGGCGATTGAGAGGTAATAACCATTCATATGGATATCTTGATAGTTGATTTGACTCCGAGGTGCTAAGGGTCTAAACATCGCATGTTTATATTTTATGATTCCATCCACAGGTAATTTTACCATCGCTATTCCCTCTTGGAAACAAAACACATTTGTTCCAACCATGGTCATCATATTTTTAGTTTGCCAAGTTGAAGATTTTTGAATAAAAAATCGTCTATCTCGCAAGATAGTATGTGTTGTTACAAAATCAATGAATGCATCATTTGATTCATCATTAGAGGTTTTGTCATTCATATAAGCCTCTAAATCATCAACACCAATGGAATCCATGGACGCATCCATAGTATGAACTTCATGAGTCTATACTCAAAGTTTCTTATTTTCTTGGAATATTTTCATAAAATACTCTAAAGTACAACATGCATGTACCAAATGTCCAATCATTCCACATTTAAAGTAAGAACGCATCTCTCATTTTTGTTTTCTACTATAATTAATTATAAGACGTTGATTCTTTCTATATGGGTAGAAATGGTCACGACTATAATTCATTTGGTGCTTCTTAGCATTTTTTCCATGTTTGTATAATTGTTTCTTAGATTTTGGAATATTAATTACATGAGATTCTGGAATTTTGGTTCCAATAGGACGAGCTTCCGCATAACGCAAGAGTAGCTCATTTTGCTTCTCCACAAGAAATAGATACAACATGAGATCAGAATGACTCTAAAATTTCATGTTTCTATATTGTTGTACAAGCACAACAAATACATGAAGAAATGTAGATAGAATTTTCTCAATCATTTCTTCTTTAGAGATGTTTTGTCTAGATAATCGTAATTGTGAGACAATGTTATACATTTCACTATTAAAGCATTCAAATTTTGAAAATCCAAGACACGTAAATGTGTCCAATTATGACATGGATGCAGAAGGAAAATGGTCTTTTGATGATCAAACTTGGATTTAAGATTCTTCCAAAGTTCTGCAAGATCTTCTATTTCCAAATATTGATGTTGTAATACAGGTACAAGATGACAACAAAAGAGAAGAAGTGCTTTCCAACCAATAGTTGGAGGAATAGAAGTACTTATTGTAGGAGATTCTTCAAACATAATAGCATTCAAGAATTATTTTGCAAATAAATTTGCTTTTGCCATTTTTGCCCATAATATATAATCGTTGCCATCTATAATCAATGGTAGAAATAAAAGAGCTTGAAAATGTTGCAATGCAGTGGTAATAGTTGGAACCATAGTAGAAGTGGTTGAAGATATTGAAACACTCATTATAAATAAATGTGTAAAAAAAAAATACAAGATCAAGTAGAAGAGTTGAGTAAAACGTACTTCAAAATATAAAGTCAAATAAAATGATAAAGTTGAACTTGAAATCAAAAATATTATTTTATTTTATTTTATTTTTTTTCTTGACAGTTGTGGATTGTGGCAACAGAATAGCAGCAACAAGGCAGTTGCAGCACTTATCGGCGGCTGCGGCAGGTAGGCAACGACAATGGCAAGGTCGGCGGCTGTTTGGTGATAGTTTGGCCGTAGGTTGACGGTTGTTTGGTGTCAATTGGGTGTCAGTTCAGTGGCAGTTTGATGGCAGTTTGGTGACAATTCAGTGGCTGTTTAGTCAGCAGGTGCAGGATAGTTTGACGGTAGCAAGAAGGAGGCAGTAGTAGCAGGGAGGGAGCAACAAGGAGGCATCAAGGCAACAACAGGAAGGTATGGCTGGAGCAAGTACTCTAAGCAACCAGGGCATAGAATGGATCAAGTAACCAAGGTGTGAGGGGCTAGTAAGAAGTGCAACAAGATTCAACAGATTAATAAAAATTACACAAGGATCAAGAGTAGCAATAGGTTTGAAGAATCAAGACTATAATTAAAAGAACATTGTGATAGTATATAGTAGCAAATTGTGCTGATGATGTATTGAGAATGTTTTGTAGAAAGAAAGACAAGAGCTAGAAGTCATATGCACACACACATACATGGTTAATTGATAGGATTATTTTTCTTATGTAAAGAGAAGGGAAGAAGATAAACAGTATCTTCTCACTACATTCTAAACTTTGTAGCTACAATAAATACTATAGACCATAGTAAATAGCATGGAAAGCGCCACTACATTTAATGCTCTCAATAAATTCAAACCTCTAGCCTTACAATTAGAGAGTCTTGTTGAAGTTGGCACTTTCATTGGACATTGATTATATCAATAGGGACCATAGGAGATCTCAAAGGAATGAGTCCAAAGCTTCTAATAAGATGAGGCATGTAACCCCATGTATAATACAAGTTGGAAGAACACAAGCCAGAATAGTATAATTCCATATCCATCAAAGTCAAATTAGGGCCTTTGGAGGGCCGTGTAAAAGAGGACACGTTCTCCAAAATTTGTTGAACATTGGATGGGCTTGTCTAGATTGTACTTGGAAAAAAACATAGCATCTAATGCTAAACAAGAATGTGCAATAGTTCTACCGTATGGACTTTGTCCAACTAAGGACAACAAAATATCTACACACTTGGTTGTTATGGGGTTCGTCTAACCTCTGAGACTTCAAAGCCATTCAAAAATTACAGGTCACAGCTTGGTTTTTGTCACTTCTCCATCAGCCATCCAAAGGCATCAATGCACCTCTAATATGTGTTTCAAGCTTTCAAGGGCACACATGAGGAATCTCACCTTTATGAATCAACTATACCACGTTTGTTCAGACCACTGTTGTGTGGGTAAGAGATGAGGGTATCTTATGTTTACACCTCTTGTGCATTTCAGATACCCTCACATGAGGGTACGGTACCTACATGTACACGAGGTGTAGACACGCAATGACAAAGACACCGCACTGCAGCTGCCAACAGGCCTTACTCTGTCTTTCATAATGTCAACCAAGCTGTCTAAGTCCATGAGTCTAAACCAGTGTTGTGCAGGGTCTTGGCCAACCGAAGGACAAAATTTGCCCTGACAGCATTGCAACTTGTGCATCAGATCCTTTTGAAGGGGCTGATGTGAGTTTCAGATAAGTACAAATCCATACCGACCTAATTGGTATTTTCACAAATTTTTTGGATGTACAATGATCACAAGAATGCTTGTTTCTGTAACGATTCCACCACCATGCCCTGCCACAATCAAGACATGCTAAACCTGGTCATAAGAAACTGTTGTTTGGATCGGCGTTGAACATCCGCTCTGGTGATGACAATCCGCTGGAGCGGGGAGGGGGTCTGGCATGTCGAATACATGGAGAGATGTTACCAATTCGTGGATACTTTGAAAGGTCTGATCTGGGGCGCGGGACGCGACCTACTACTTTTTGCAAGTGAGTGGGAGGATCATTTTGTCGAGCCACATACTTTGTGAGCTCGGCATCCCAGATTCTGGCTTCATCAGGTTGTCCCAACTTCTTGTACAGTTTGGCTAATAATTTACACAACGAGGCCTCAGCACACCCCTGGTAATCCAGGGCTGCGGGTGTCATCCAGAAACGGGCGTGGGAATTTCTGCGTTGCCACCTTCGAAAGCACCTCCGCCTTGTCCAACATCCCTTCCTCACGAAGCGCCCAACTCCACTCCCACGCAGCCATCCTCACCTGCATCGCAACGGCTGCATAAGCCCCCCTTGTGAGCAGGTCATGGGGGAAATTCACTATAGCGGTTTGAATTGTCTGCAAGAACCTACACAAATGAAAGACAAGTTTAGAGAGGAGATGACCATCAGATGAGGTACAGCAAAAACATTGAGCAATTTTGTACTCGGAATCAAGAATCAGTGTGTCTTGATGGCAGCATGTTTTCCTGAGCTCATCCAGGAAACCTTAGCTTTAGTTTGCAGAGGCGTTTGACTACAGAAGGGTACTTCCCTTCCGCAGACAAACGCATGGGCCATCAAGCCATATCTAGGTGAAATGCCGAGAACATTAGATTTGCCAATAGTAGTTCATGGCAAGGAAAATTTGGCAGAAAGCAAGTGCAGCCATGGACAACACTTCAGTGCTTCATGAAAAGGTTATGTTTGAATGTCCATGTGAATGTGTGATAGCACTCACCAGATGGAATGTTCGTAGTCCTTGAATTGCGTATGGTAGCACAGTGCGTATGGCAGTGCGGCCCATGCAAATAGAACTTGGTAGATGACACTCCAGTCGCTGCCGGGCAGAGGCATGTCACAGCTGACAAGTGAGGTGAGGTAAACTTGGTAATTGATATATGTAAAATCCCAAATCCGAGATTTTTCCGCTCGTAAACCCACGGTTCCAGAGAGCCACAATGTCCCAGAATTTAAACCAGAATCTTCCGGCACCATGTTGACAAAATTTTCAATTAGGAATGCATCTCTCTTGGTTTGACCAGAACTTTTTTCACAGTAAAAATCTCGAAACTCTTCATCACCTACGTCCTGTGAGCTCGAAGGGGAGAGCGCTCTATCCATAACAATGAAAAAGTTTTCTATCATACGAACGGTGTCTGTGAAGTCATCAGTGCAGCTCACGGGATTAGATACCTCCTGCATCAGCCTGGTGTACGGTGACGACTCGGTAAGATTCGGAGGAGGTACAAACTCTTCATTGCTTACCGTTAATGCTTGGCGCATGATTGAGGTTATGATAGTTTGAAATTGTTCCAAGTGATGTTTTGATAACTCCTCGGGTGGGGAGTCTTGAAGAGCCAGATACCTCCTGCATTGCCACCAGGCATTATCCACGCTCAACACCCATCTGAGATGCAGGTTCAGGCTCACATCACTGATCCTCTGCTTCACCTTGAGGAGCTTGTGGGAAGCTGCCGCTAAATCATCCATGTCGCAGAGCAGATAAACATCGTCTAGGGTAATTTCCACTTCAGCGTCCAGCGACAAATTGCTGGGCAACCACTTTCTCAATTCCAATCGCCATTCTTTAGCCTTCTCGTACTGCTGGAACCTGCGGTGTTGGTTGCCAAGAAGGTGACTCAACGTTGCCTCAGCAGGCGTGTCGGCATTCAGAAGCCAGTCACGTGGGAAGTCCCTCACAGCACGTTCTGCGAGAACATGCGAAAGCCCCACTTGGCCGCGTCTCTGGAGCATGTAGCTTGTCTCCCAATCTACGATTCTAATGTGTTGGTCGATGCTTGCATAGGCTAACATCGGAAGTCTTTCAGATATCTCATCGTCCCGTGTTGCTCGTAGAGCTCCAAGATGTATAGTGGCTCCTTCGTAATCTCCCAACTTGATTTGCTTGTACAAAGCGCATGGTATGCTTGCCCAGGCGGTAACCCACAAGTAATCCCCATATCTGTTAAATGTGCGGTCGAACGTGAGGTCAAACCCGATACTGTGAAGAATTTCCAAAAACCGTACATACTCGTGGTACGAGGACTCCCAATTCCTCTCCTTCTCTGCTTCAATGGCATCCTCAGCATGAGTTTGCAGGTTGCGAGCTTCTGTATCGAGTCGGGATGGCATTTGATTTAAATGCTCCACCAGCCTTTCTATGGATGGTTGGATCATGCAACCTGTATGGTAGTCGAATTTGTAGGCCTGGCTCTTTGGATCATCGGACTCATCCTTTAACCAAAGTTCCATCCTGACCAACAATCCTGCCGACGGATTGGTAACGGGATTCCAATGATCTACCCACGAGGCTTTTCTGCGCTCCGCTCAGAGTGGCTCAAAATGTATTGTGTTCGAGTTCCGAATGAGAGTCCCTGCACACACGTTCAAGTGTTAGGACAATCAAATTAAGAATCCCTAAATGGGTAAAAGCGGAATCATAGCGTGAAGGTTAGTTCAGAGTATTCTTCATCGCGTGCGCTAAACGCAACATACATTATAAACCTTCGGCTTGAGCAGATTAAGATCAGATGAACTAGCATACAGAACTTCCAGATGCTTATCACGAGCAAAAACCTCAGAGCCCCTCAACATGTGCGCACCTGTGAGGACCATGGATTGTGGTCGACAATAATACTAAGATGCTTAAACTCACCAAGGGATTGAAACTTTGGAGCTGAACAACTCGGTTTCCAAGGGGGTCAAGCAAGTATAGAAATTAATGCAGCTCAAAGGGAGTAGAAGCTGTCGTGATTATCAGATAGAGGGAATCCCTACCATGACAAACATGGTTCATACATCGAGCACCTCAAATGTTTTGGTCGCGTTGGAGGTACGTGTTAGAGGTACGCACGTGAGCAAAATGGGCCGGCGTACGCCTCTGCCTGAGCGAGCAAAAGTCATTATTCAGTGTGAAGAGGGTGCGAGAGGAGCAAGGGGGCGGTGGACCGGCGCAGGCTTGCTCCACCCCTAGGCCATGAGCGTACCTCTGTTGTCTGGTGGCAGACGCGCAGGGTCACTGACCGGGCCTCTCGCATCTTCTTTGCGTGACGGGCGTTGAACATTCGCATCCTTTGATACCGTATTCTTGCACACGAGTCACGTTGCTTGCAGGCTATGCCTCACTTTGAATGATACAAGCCCACTTGCGTGTTCATTTTCAATACCAACCCTTCCCGCCTTGCTGACTTTCGTGGCTATTATGGATGGAGCAAGTTGTCGGTCTAGATTCTATTTTAGTACTATTTGTATTTTTATCCAGTTGTGTGCATCTTAAGCAACTTCCATTCGAAACTTCGCTGTAAGCTGTCCCTCCCCGTCGCAGGAGAGTATCTGCCTCAGTGGCGGAGCTCATTGCTTTCATCATTCGGCGCCGGAAGAGAGATCCATGTGGTATTTTGAAGCCCCGGCTCGGCCAGGTCAACGAGTACGTGAAAGTAATGGCTAACACTCACAGCCGTGCTTTCCGACTCCGTAGGAACAGATTGGCCTAACTGCGACAGGGAATGGATCGGCATCAAGTCAATTGGTGAGTAGTATTCTGGTCTGCTCCAATCCTTACCGTCCTCCACTACAATTCCAAGAATTCTTGTTCGAATACCCATCACATTTGAGTGTGTGTGCAGGGACTCGCCGCTGGAACCCAAACATAAGATATTTTTGAGCCATAGCGGGGCTCAGAAAAGCTTTGTGGAGGCATTATGTGATCAACTGGAGGACGTTCGTCGTTTCCCTTTCTTTGATAAACGCGCTGACAGCTTACCACTGGGTGAGAGATTTCCAGACTTGATCTTCCAAGCTGCGCAGCAATGTCGGGTGGCAGTAGTGATTTTGTCAGAGGAGTACTTCACGACCAAGTGGCCCATGCTCGAGCTGGTTGCTTTCATGCAAGCACGAGAATCAGATATCAATAAACCCAAGATTCTCCCTCTTTTCTTCAAAACATCACTATCTGAATTGGGTGATACGACAAGGCGTAATCACTGGTTCTCGGCGTGGGAAGTTTTGGCACAAGCGGATCACAGGGTCAAGCTTGGCAAATGGAAGGATGCTTTGAAGCAGTTGCCCTCTTTCAAAGGTATTGAATACGTCAAGCGGGGAGAAAGTCCGTATCAAGAGGACTCTGTGAAAGCGTATCGAGACGTCGTTGTAAGCTATCTCTGCGATCTAGTTCCCCCTGATGTTTGGTGGGATGATTCAGATGTTCAAGGGAGGTTGCGAATATGTCGGGTAAGCAAAGTCCCTAAAACTTCTATGTATTCCACCGCATCAACAAGATGCTGTTCGTGCCCAAGAATTGGCATGGTACTAGTTGTGGCATCCACTCGAAGGCACTCGGTGCACGCTGTTTAGGAGACCATGAGATATTTGAACGATGAATCGAATTATAATTCTATGGTGATTGCGGTGTAATGATGGTTGCTCTACAGATTGTCCTTGACCATTTTCAATCTGTCTTATCCAACAGAGAATACTCGGAAAATTTGAGAAAACCTGTGAATCCCTTAGAAATGGGGTGCGCGTGGTGGGCTTGTATGGCACGGGCGGAATCGGCAAAACAACCTTTTGTAAGGTTTTATGCAATGAGCTTGATAAGAAGTTCCATGGAAAGGTGTGTCATGCAGAACTTGGCAACCCCACACTAGAGTTGTTGAAGGTCGTAATAAAAACCCTCACAGACACAGCAAAGCAACAGTTTGAGCACTGGACGGAGGACCAGGTAAGTCTTGCTCCTGAATGGTCCAGACTAAATTTTTGTTGATGCAAATGGAGTCTTGTTTGAAAGAAACCTTGGATAAATCTCCAGACTATATGGAAAGCTGGTATGTGGTATAAAGTACGGGCAATCGTCTTTCACGTTGAACATTCTGTTCAAGTTGAAGTAGACATAGCTGCACAGTCTGGACACAAATTGTCTCCAAGTTTCCTTAGAGGGGTCATTTTTTAATTCTCTTCTAAATTTTTGAGTACCTCGTCTTAACTCCGCTTGACGACTGCTTGGAGATTGTCCCCTACACGGGTTCTTCAAATGTTGCAAAATACACTCTACATTCTCTTAGTCATGCTAATCCCAGGACAAACAACCATACTGGTTAAATGACCTTTGGCACTCACATTCTGGCTCGAGATGGGGGATGCAGTGCCGAAATTATTTGAAGCATGAAGTACGGAGGAGGGCAACATTTTTGGCTCTAGACAATGTGTCAATTGAGTCACTCGATCAAGCCAAAATGTACCTTGACGCGGATTTTCACAAAGATAGTATGGTGCTAGTGACAGCTCGTTCTCTCAGCATACTTACATCACACCTTAAAATCAACGAAAGCCACTGTATGGAGATGCCAGAGCTTGAGAGAGAAGAGGCGACTAAACTGTTTCTCAACCATGCCGCACCTGATTACGACTCTTTTGGGGACAAAGACCACGACAACGATATCCAAAGATGTGTTGAGGAGTGCCTTTACAGCAAGGGTGAAAATTTTGGTTCCCACTATCATCCACTAGCACTAAAAGTGTTGGGTGAGCAGCTGCGGAGTTCCGACCCTTCTGAATGGCAGGACGTATTAGACGAGGAACCCGATAAGTTCAACCTCTTAGGGGAAACAACACATCGTGTCTTCAGCGTTCTCAAAAGAAGCTACAACAGCTTACGTGAAGACGACCAGCTTTTTTTTATGGATGTGGCTCTTTATACACCTGAAAAGTATATCTTCCTTGAGGTACCTGGAAACATTTTCTATTGGCTAAGCATGGTCCACAACTTGGAGGTAACTCAAGTCCGCAGACGGGTAAGGCTTTTTGCAATGTCTAACTTAAATTATTTCATTTTGTTCGATTAAAAAATCGCCTTCGCAATGTGACCTCGTGGCTCTAGGAGATCATCGGCACTCTTCTGTCACTACTACTTCTGTCTACTATGACTTTTTTTTACTCGCAATTGTTTCCAACCCTGTAACTCTGGAAGTTGAATATTCTTGAATGCTTGTTGAAGCAGACAGCGAACTAACTGTAGGTAATTGAGAACCATTAAAACATGAGAATCATGACATAGTAACAAAGCTCGGGAGTAATGTGTTAATACCATGATCAATCACCACCTTAAGAGTATCAGTATCGGAGTACCTATGGAAATTACGGATCCAAGACTCTTAATGATCACAATGAGATGTAAGGTACCATGTTTGCAGTAGCAATGCATGTTGTCGCAGATGGGCAGCTTGGAATGCCTATCGAGTGCAATATTTACTTCATGTTGACTTCTGCTGGTTGCTCTTGGCACAAGTTGGAGCGCCTAAAGACGAGAGGGATGTTGGAGGACTTGGGTGATGGCTTTCGCAGTATTGCCATGCACGAATTATTCCGCGAGCTTGCGAAAATGGAAGTGAAAGCAGTGGACTTTGATACCCGACGATGTGTTTATGAGACTGACGATATTACAGAGCTTCAGAGAAAAAGATCCGGCAATTGTTGCTCAAAGTTGGTCAGAATTGCATTGACAGACTGCTTTGATCTGGAAAGCTTTGCGGGTATCAAATGGCATTATTTCTCGAATCTTGTTGTCTTGAAGCTTTTCAGATGCGACCTCGACGATGATGACTTGAACTTGGAAGGGTTGGAGCTCCTGAGGTCTTTGGATGCTTACGATTGTTCACGCCTCAGCAAACTTCCAGGGCTGCAAGCGTTGAAATACTTGACCTATTTGAGGTTGACTGATGTTCCGATCAGGAATAAAACTCTGGATCATCTGCCAGTGTCACTCAAGCATTTGCACTTGCAAGGTCATATGGAGCTTTACCGTCCGCCAAACCTTGACCACTGTACCAATTTACGCGAGCTCACACTACAGCTATGTCCTGAAATGTTCATGTTTCCAGATTTGAGCAAGCTAAGTTCGTTGCGGAAGATATTCTTCTCTGGCTGTTATAAAGCGCACACCGTCAGGGGTTTGAACTCACAACTGTCTAAGTTAGAATCTCTGAGGGTTGTTGGAAACGCGAGTAGGTCGGTGAGTTGCCCGGGTCTTGGTGAATTGATCGGCTTGCAAGAACTTCAACTCCGACAGATTGATTCCATGGAACCCGCCGATTTGCAGAAGCTTACCAATCTGAAGGTGTTGGAGATCTTGAGTAACAAGCTCACAAGGTTGTCGGGGCTTGAAAGGCTTACCAATTTGGAGGCGCTCTCCCTCAAGGGATGCATTGTGTTGAGGAGCTTGGAAAACCTTCGGCAGTTACCTGCATTGCGTCTTCTCAATGTTGGAGGTTGCTGCAATTTAAGATCTCTCAAGGTTTACGATTGTGCATCCTTAACCATGTGCCTGGGGTTAAGTGACCTAGCTGCCTTGGAAGAACTATATCTATGTAATGTTGGTGTTAAGGAGGTCCCGTACATGAAAGAACTGTATCTGCGCAATGTTGGTCTTCTGTCCACTGTGGAACCGCAGGGTGAGCCGAACTTTGCCAAACTAAAAATTCTCAATCTCCACGGGTGCACTGAATTGAAGAGTTTGGAGGACATAGGGCCTTTACCTGCGTTGCAGCAACTTGATGTCTCATGCTGCAGCAAGCTAGAAGAACTGCCAGATTTGGGCAGCTCCAGCAAACTTGAACTGCTTAATTTCTCGCAGAGTGCAGTGCAACTACGATACAGAGATGTTTACAGACTTGCTTCCATGCCGCTACTAAGTCCAGTAACCATTGTGAAGGAGGATTCGGTTGACTCTAGGTAGAAGAAGAAGCAAAGCATGCCGGAGCTGAAGTGTTGTGGAATGGATTACAAAACCTTCGTGGAGACGAATACTTACTATATGCTCAAGAGGAAAGCCCGGAGGCTTTGATGAGGAAGAAGAGTATTCATTGCTTCGAAGACTTTAATCCTGTGTCATGTGAAATTCGGCCCTTAAGTGATCCTTGCTTTAGCATCCCAACAAAAATCATATGCAAGCTCATTGAGCTTCGATTACCCAACTTTCTTTAGAATGCATTCTCAATTTCAGTAGACCTCCTTGATGCAGCAAAAGATACTTCCAAACGTATAGTCCTAATCTGAATCTGCTTGATGTTACACGACTCTGCTTGTTGAATATGATTTGGTGAAGGAAGAGTGTGCAGACTCTTCAGATTACAAGATCGTTAGATTGTTGTCCCGTTGGCTGCTTTGAGTTGTGATCAGAACCCAGAATCTGTACGTATCATATCCTCAGAGTTGCAAAATCAACACCTTGGTTATAACTTCTAGCAACTCAAAATGTCTGATTGTATTTATATGCTGCACGTTGAGGCAATTGTATAGGGACAACATTGAATCGGAATACTGAGCTCATTGGTCATGACATGCTCTGGTGATGGCAGCTCTTGAATGATTACCTACTGCCTGTGGCTCTCATGAGCAACACTGATGGTCACTTCACTAGCGCTTTCGCCTTGACATTCTCATGTTGTGCATAGTCCTTTGTTGGGCGCCCATAGGCAGAAGGACTTCTCTCAGGGTCTAAAATGTTTTTAATGTACTAAATTATGCCATTATCTGTTGTCAGGTTTACATTCGAGATGATTTATCTCTGAATCATCAAAATCAATCAAATATGCCCTTGTCTCTGGCTTTCCTTTGGTTTCATGTGAAAATAATCATTAACCTCTGAAGGACTACACAGATTTGTGCAATTACTGTGGGGAGGGTTTACTGTGCCCTGAACTTACTGTGGGTGTGCAAAAACTGTGGATTGCTTCAAAAAAAACTATGGATTGGGAGAAGCATGGTTGGGTGGACCAAAAGTACTGTCTTTTGGACCAATTTCAGCATTGTCTAATTTTGATGGAAGATAAGGTCAACTAAAAATAGCTGAACCTTATAAAAATAACACACATGATTACTTTACATCTAAAATGGCTAAACTACAAAGAAATATTAAAAAAAATCCATTTTCTTACATTTTTAAATATCCATTAGAGTACTTTAATGGATATTTAAAAATATCTTTTATACATGTGTATACTAAATGTGGAGGAAAAAATTACTATCTAATGTAAATATTTAACTAATGGATTCTCTGTATAGACAAGTAGCACATCTTTGCATAAGAGGGTACCAAATATGAAAAACATGTTCAATATCTTCAAATTAGTTATGATAAGTACTCTCCCACGCAGTGATGAAAAGATCGAATCCCTCTGGTAAGTTAGCATTCAACTTAGATATCATAGCATCATCACCAAAAGTAATATCATCTAAGTTCTTTAACTCACTCGTGATCAAATCTAAATTGCCTATAAAATTAAGAACTATAAAAAATCAAGAAATTAAAAAAATCAAGATAGAACGTAGGTGATGCCAAGCAATAAAAACAAGAACTATGAAGAAAATGTAGTAGATGAAGGAAGCTGTAGCTGTACATGGCGACATGAAAATGTGCTTTGAAAAATGGCGGAAAAATAAAGGTCAAAATGACAAAAAATAATTGCAAGCTAGCTTGAAAACCTAAACCCTAAACTTAGAACTTGAAGTGTTAGAGCCCATAACCTTTTGTCACAATACCTCAATCAATAACAAATCACACAAGCATTCAGGCAACATTCTTTATTCTACAAAAGGAAAAAAATACAATGAGGGTTCTTCTTTCGTCTCAGAAGCTGTCACTATGAACTAATTAGTATCTGCAAATAATTAGTAATTAAATTGGTCAATAAACAATGATTGAGATTTTGTCAATGTAACCAACTATTACGAAAGTTTAGAAGTAAAAAGAGTCCACACAAGTGCAAAAGGAAAAAATTCTAAAGTGGATTCAACACAAGTCCACAAAATGCAATTGATGTATTACAATGGGTGTGCTACTTCAAGATGCACAAGGCAAGTGATGATCCAAAGAGCCTAGCTGATGTTTTATGATCAAGTTTAGGGTTTAGGATTTAGGATTACAAGAGTGTCCTAGAGGTTTTTGATCCTATATATCTCTCAATTTATCATAGCTTTTTGCATTCTAAAATTTTGCCAAGTCTTACATTGTCTCAAAGACTTCTATAAACATTTTTGTTTCTCAAAAATATGTGTTTCATTTTTCAGGTTTTAGGATTTAGGAACCCTAATTAGGATTTGAAGACCATGATTTGGAATATAAATTTTGTATTTGTTACCATGTAAGAAATGTGTATAGAATTGGAATGCGTATCAAATAGTCACTGCGCCAAAATAAATCTCGGATGTGTGGCATCACAAAATTTATCGTGTAGGCTGACTAGATCGATTGTGGGTTTAGAATCTTAGGATCTTAAGATTTGAGGGTCTTAGGATTTCAAAGTCTTAGGGTCTTAAGGTTCTAGGGACTTGGGATTCTAGGGTCTTAGGATTTTGGGTCTTAGGATTCTAGAGTTCCGGGGTCTTAGGATTCTAGAGTCTTAAGGTCTTAGGATGTTTAGGGCTCTAGAATCTTAGGATTCTACGATCTTAGGATTCTACGGTCTTAGGATTCTAGGATTTAGGATTTTGAATTACAAGAGTGTCCTAGAAATTTTTGATCCTATATATCTTTCAATGTATCACAGCTTTTTGCATTCTGGAATTTCGCCAAACCTAACATTGTCCCAAAGACCTCTATAAACATTTTTGTTTAGGATTTATGGTTTAGGGTTTAGGGTTACATGGGTGTCCTAGAGGTTTTTCATCCTTAGTATCTCTCAATGTATCACAACTTTTTTTGTTGTAAAATTTTGCAAAGGCTTAGAGTCACCCAAAGACCTCTATAAACGTTTTTTTTAATAAAAAAGATGCATTTTGTTTTTTGTAATTTAGGGTTTAGAAATCCTAATTAGGGTCTTAAGACCCTGATTAGAGTTTTGACTTGCATATTTCTTCTCATGTAAGAATTGTATATGGAGTCTAAATACGTACACAACTCTGCTTATCCAAAGTAATCTCCCATAGATGGGTGGTTCACCTAGTCTAGGTCCAGAGTGTCGTTAAGGCTGCTCGCCCGTATGTCTTTGCCCGCTCTCTACCTGCTGCACCACCGGCTCTCCTTCCATCACGACCATCGTTGACAGAGCCAATATCAGCTCCATTTTTTACTTCTGCACCACTCCCGCATACGATGTTGGTGCCTACCCCCGATGCATTCGTGAGTGTAGCCTTTGAGACTACGTCGCTTATTGCAGCATCGCTTGTAGTCACATTACAGATTCTACAAAATCAGACATCAACACGCTCGTTAATCACCCCGCAGTCACACCCATTCTTCAATCGATGCCAACCAAGACAATAGAAGACTCAGTGGCAACGAGTACTGTACGAGCCCGACTAGCATCGACCTAGGCAATGAATTTTACAATGCTGCACATCTTGCACTCCAATGGGCCGAGCTCGAGTGCTCCAACGATTGGTGCAGACAGTCACGTTCCGATGGTCCATCGTAAGACAAGTCCTCATACCTTAACGCCGGAGCGTAGCTCCTCGATGCACCGCCTCATGGCAACCTTTTGTGACGCCCTGTGCTCCGATCTCTTGTCGTCGCTTCCTGTGTCGCCGTAGGCATCCACCACAGCTGCTCCGACGTATGCACAAAAAATCACACTCGACGATGGTAATTCTGCCCATCCTTGCATAGCTGCATCCAAGTACCGAGCAGAATGTAGCCAATACTCAAATACCTAAATGCACCCAAACTTGCACGCATCGCCTCTCCGAGAGCTCCTTTTTTTGAAAGTCCCTACACGTTGTCCTTGAATAGTCATATTGCTGAGGATTGCAACGCCTAACTTTCTCGCCCGGGTGGGCAAATGGGCCCTCCGTCCAATCATGGCTCTTCCCTCTCATACATCGCCTCATCTAGAATTCCAACATCCGGAACTGATTGCACCTATACATGTCTATCACTGGCCACGCCTCCTTGTCCTCGTTGTTCGATGATAGAAAATCGTTGAACGATGCATCAAAAAATATCTATAATCCTAGCGACTAGGTCCCACAGCCCCCAACTATGACGTCGATCCCAAGTTCAACCCTCGCATGTCCATTCGACTTGCTCTCTTCCTGCCTTCTCATAAAAGCTCCCTTCATCGCTCTCCGCCTCGATCCGCGACTCCTCGTTTGTTATCAAAAATCCCAAAAATTCATCCTTGGACATCGACGACCTCGGCGGGCTCCAAAAGAAATTGTTGAATGTGTGCAACTCTAAACCCTACCCCCAAAAGCTGTGGCTCTTTTGGAACATCCTACCTAATGCATCATCTTGAGGCGCCTCTGCATCGTGCATCGCCGCAGGTAAGAACGAGGTCCACCGCCAAATTACATGCTACGCTGATACACCCTACGACATAGGCATGTAGTCACCCATCGATTCATACAACAATGGCGATGACCAACTTCCCGTCCAGCGATGCCAGTGTCCTCACTCCGCCGCTCATAAACGGTGACTTTTTTCCTCCTACCATGAAACCCTAAACTTACTGCTCATGCAAAACTGCCATTGTCTTCCTTGCAAGCCCTTACTCCTCTTCACTCGACCTCTTTCTCCACCTCCTTTTCTCGGTTGCATCTCATTGGCCACACTTCCGTCTCTCCCAACCTCGAACTACCCTTCGACTGTTTAGGGTTTACTCTAGTCTCACACATACACATTCACACACACAGAAAGACGGAGAAAGTGGGAGAGAGATTCCAAGTTGAATAGCCCTGCATGCATCCGTTGGTGGAGTGAGTATCGCACACACACACACACATGCACATGCACAGAAAGACGGAGAAAGTCGGATAGAGATCCCACGGTCAATAGCCCGTCAATCAAGATTGGAAGTGGCCACAGAAAGAAACATGAAGATGTAGCAGGCTTAATTGTACAAAACAGTTCCCGGTCTTGTGTGACAAAAAACAAGAAAATGGAAAAGCAATAGTAGTTATGGTTGCCGTCGGAGGAAAAAAGAAACAAGAGAATGACTGGTGAACGAAGCTCCTCACCACATTCTCTCACTCAATCTTCAATACTATGGAGGGCAACAAGTTCCAAGGCGATGCTGTCCCAACAACAGAAGTATCAATTGAACTCGTGAGAGGCCCAGATAACCTAATGCCAAGTGCTGGACCTGCAAATACAACAATCTCCTGTAGTTGCTCAAGTAATCACATTGTATGTTATCAAAAAAAAAAAAAAAAAAAAAAAAAAATCAGTAAAAGTATATTTTTGCATAATATTGTAGTCTGTAAAGTTTTATTTTAAAAATCTACGAGACTAGTGGAATTCCAAATTCACTAGCATTTAGTATTTAGGAACCCCTGATCTTGAACATTAAAACCCCAATTCATTCTTATGGTCGTTGATTTGAATGAATCCTTAGACGTAAC